TTCCACACCAGCACAGGATAAAAGATAAAGCTCTAATGTGTTTTTTTTCCGCTGTACTCAGTGCTTTGTCAAAGAGCACATGTGACCACCAATGCAAGGCGAACTTCACCACTGACCACTAAAGTAAGTGGAACTTCACAATTGAAAACCAATCCAGGGCAAACTTCACCACTGACCACTAATTTAGGTGGAACTTTACGACTGACCATCAATCCAGGGGAACTTCACCACTGACCACCAATTTAAGTGGAAGTTTACGACTGACCACCAATCCAGGGGGAACTTCACCACTGACCACCAATTTAAGTGGAACTTTACGACTGACCACCAATCCAGAGGGAACTTCACCACTGACCACCAATTTAAGTGGAACTTCACAGCTGACCGCCAATGTAAAGTAAATCTCAACACTGATCACAATTGTAAGGAGGCCCTACATTGGCCACCAGTGTAAAGGAAGCCTCACCACATACCACCAATATAAGGGGGTTTACATGACCCCCACAGTAAAAAGTCACTACACCACTGACCACAAATGTAAGGGGGCAATTCCCCACTATCCACCATTATAAGGAACTTTTCCACAGACCATCAAAATTAAGGGAACTTCTCTACTGACCTCCAATGTGTAGGGGCCCTTCTCCACTGACCAACAATGTAAGGGGAATTTTTTTGCTGACCAGTGGCGTAAGAGAAAACTTCAATTTTCACTGTCTTTTCTTTCCAATATTATTATTTGTTTCATTTTATGAGTATTACTGATTATAATGTTGTCCTATAAAGGGGATCAAGTTTTCAAACAGTCTATTCTTTTATTTAAAAACTTCCTATATCCTTTTACGATTTACCTTATTTACCATGAGTTGTAGATATAATCACTTTTAGCAGCACCATTATGTAATGGGTTCCTCCTCGGCAAAAAGTTGAGTAAGACTACTCTAGAATGATAGCAGCTAAATATTTTGAGTTATTTGTGTACAATGCCCTAAAGCAGTGGTCTCCAAACTGTGGCCCAAGGGCCGTATGCAGCCCTTTGATAGCTTTTATCCAACCCTTGGGGCACTATTCCTCCCACTGATTTGATGCACTATTCCTTCCACTGACACCAGTGGGGTATAATTCCTGCCACTGACACTGATGATGGGGCGCTATTCCTCCCACTGATATCAATGATGTGGTACTATTCCTCACACTGACACCAATGATAGCACACTATTCCTTTCACTGATACCAATGGTGGGGTACTATTCCTCCCACTGATATCAATGATGTGGCACTATTCCTCACACTGACACCAATGATAGCACACTATTCCTTTCACTGATACCAATGGTGGGGTAATATTCCTTTCACTGATACCAATGATGGAGTACTGGTCTTCCTAGTAATACCAATGATGGGCCACTATTCTTCCTCTTACTGACCAAAGGAATTATGTAACTAACTAATAACCCTGAGGCACGGTTTATCCTCACTGATGCTGGGCCCAGGAAATATTCTACCCCCATTGACCACAATCCGGCCCCCTAAAGTCTGAAAGACAGTAAACTGGCCCTTTGTTTATACTTTTTGGAGACCCCTGCCCTAAAGGATGAAAACTTTTTTGTCATAAGGAAATGATCACATATGGCTAATCAAAATGGCAAAATAACCTGTTAAGTTACCTATTTTTTGTGTGCTTTTATTCTGAAATAAGCATCAACCTATTAAAGGTAAGACCTGTTTTCTATGTGTGCCAGGTGCATAACAGGATCAGCATGAACAGTTGTGCAGCATCTTTGACTATCACCCCAGGCAAAGTACATCACAGCGTATGAAGCCCCAAAAGACTCAATAAATCACATAAGCAAAACGGTAAACAAGTGTGTCTAGACAGGAATCCACTTTGCAGACTTAAAGAGCCTAAGAAACATTCAGACTTCATACACCAGCACAGCTATTCTGAATGCATCTGCAAAAGCGCTGCGTGGGTACCCAGCTGCCAATCAGTCTCCGCTCCTTCAGGAAAAACAGTTTTGCGATTTTTCAGGATCAGCGGCGCAGTCTGCGGGGTTGAGAGGTCATTTAATACATTCCGCAGGCAGCTGCAGTTTAGCGTTGGCAAACTCATCTTTGAAGGCTTTCTGCTTGAAAGATGAAGTAAAGCCAAGCAAATATTTATGTAAGTTACAGCGCGAGGGGAAATGCGTTTTATTTTTCCTGACTCTCGGAGCAGCTGTTTGCTTCGGTAATCGCACACTGATTTACAAAAGGAGTCATTTTCAGCCAGGCTGTGTTAACTTCAAACACTTAGGCTGGCGTATATAAAAAGCACAGAATATTCCCACGTATCTGATTTTGTATTCAAAGTAGCAGCAAAACAGTTAAAGTTAGAGTTGAAACAGGCAAGTGTGAACTGTTTTCATACCAAAAGATTTGTGATTCTCTTCAGACAGTTTTGAGATTGTTGAACAGCAGAAGAAAGTCCCTGACTTTACTTTTCTCCACTGCAGTTAAAGCAAGGTCATGTTCTGTGATTGGATAGTGAAGGAGCAGCAACTCTTTCCTGAGGTCACCACTCTGCTCTTTCTGTCAAGCTTTTTGCTGATATCAAGACTTGTTGAGATTCTATTTAAAATTAGGTCATATAAAGAAATAAATGAATCACACAATGCCTCCGTACTATTGTTGTATGCTCCCACTCAGGGGCATCCCTAGGGTTGGTGTCACCTAGTGCAATAACACTTGGTGACACCCCCTCCGACGATCCCCGCAGAATGGATCGGATCTGCGGATTGAGCAGAATAGATCGGACTCCGGTCTATTCTGCTCAAGCCGCATATCCGATCCATCCTGCGGGGATCGTCGGCTTTCTTTACAACTTACTTTTTTTTGTGGAGCGGGTCTGGTGTCACCAAGTATAGCTTGCATGCCGACGATCCCCGCAGGCTGATTCGCATCTGTGGATTGGGCATAATGGATCAGAGTCCAATCCATTATGCTCCCCAATCCACAGATCTGATCCATCCTGCGGGGATCGTTGGCATGCAACCTATACGGGGTGACACCTGACCCGCTCCACAAAAAGGTAAGTTGTAAAGAAAGCTGATGACCCCTGCAGCATGGATCCGATCCACCCTGCGGGGATAGTCGGCTTTCTTTACAACTTACCTTTCTGTGGAGCGGGTCCAGTGTCAGCCCATGCGGTCAGTGTCACTCGGTGCAGCGCGCACCCCCCGCATCTGCTTCGGGACCCCACTGCTCCCACTCAACGTTTCTATATTTTCTTTATTTTAACCTGGTAATTCTGCCATTAACTCATTTCACTGTTCTAGGGTGACAACTGTATTGAGCATTGCTGTCACTCTAGAAGAGGGAGTATATTAAGACTAGATAGCACTGTGTTAATACTACATAACATCTCTCTTTTCCATAACATGGGGAGGTGCTTTGTAGTCCATGAAGATAGCAGGGTACAATGCTAACAGTTCAGAAGCAAAGTACAGGGAGCTCATAAGATTTCTCCTGGATAAAAAACTTTTTTTTTTTTCTTTTGCACTTGTTGAACAGATTTAATTGAAAACTTTTATTGGTATGTTTAACAGACCAAAGGGGATCAAAAAATAGAATTTACATACAGTACATTTTAAAACTGAACTTCAGGCAAGCAGCTGAATATACTGTATAGACAATATGCTTTTGTGTGACCTGTCGATTTTTTGGTCCAACTACTCCATTCAGACAGAACACATCTCAAACCAAACTGATTGGGAAGTTAAGGAGGAAGCGCAAACTTTCATGCTGCTCAGTCTACTCTAAACTCCTGCTTGCGTGGTCGTTGTGTTACAATGACAGCACTGTGTATTGCAACAGTTGCTGATATTTTCCTGGTGCTATCCCATCCTGTCTCAGTTGCAATTGTACAAGAAGCAGATTTGAAGACAAAACAAAGCATCACAGCAGCAGCACATAAACACCCCAATCTACTGCTTTTGCAGATTAAGGAGGAGCAGTCGTGGAGCAGCAAAAAAAAAAAAATGGCTCAATCGAACTCTAGGCAGATATAAAGGATGCAAATAAATTCAGCTCTGTATTTAATAATAGTATATCATTAAGACTTTGTCCACACCAGTGTACTGTGGGAACATTCGCAGAATTGCACGCTTTCCCGCACCACACAAAAACATGCTGCCCCATCGCAAATCCAGGACAGTACCAATCAATCTAATTGGCACCCCCCGGGCATCTTGCAAACAAGCACGTGCCAAAGCACATGGTACCATGCGATTTGATGTGACACAATTTTCAAAATGGTGCAGGCACCTTTTTTGCAAATTTCTCACTCATAGGGCTGCCTCACATAAAGCACACATGGTCAGTCACACATCCTAGTTTGAACAGAGCATTAATGTAGTTATTTTTAAATGCAAGCATTGTAATTATCTGAATTTGACCTGGTATCAGCCTGTTGCAGTCCTTGTACAGCAGAGCTCAGACTAGGAAAGGAAGAAGCTGCACAAGGAACCAATCAGCTGTACTGCAGCACTAGGAGCATGCAAATAGGTGGAGAGAGCAGAGTGACAGAGAGATAAGCTCATCAATTTGCTGCGTCTTTTTTCGTGGTCGAAGAGAGAATGGCACTAGCACACCGAGGATCACCAATATGGGTCAAAAAGTTTTAATGAACGATCACATAGTTACAGCAAGGCAACTTTTCAGAGTCTCGCAGGACCCCTTCATCAGGCATGTGAAATGTTGCCTTGCTGTAACTGTGTGATCACTCATTAAAACCTTTTGACCCATATTGGTGATCCTCGGTGTGCTAGTGACATTCTCCCTTGCTGATTCTGTTCAGTTCCAGCACCAACTTATACACACAGACGTTTTAACCACCTCCCGCCCGCCATATAGTCCAATTACGAGCGCAAGGTGGTTCTCTCGTTCTGGGAGGACTCCTCCCATTCTCACCGTGCATGTGTGGCTCAGGGAGCGTGCAGCACGGCGATGGGTGGTGCGCTGTGTCCCTCGGACACAGCGGATCACCGATCCATGGAAAGAGCAGAAGATGTTGGCTCGGTCATGTGATCAGCTGTGTCCAATCACAGCTGATCACATGTAAACAGGGAAATGCTGGTTATGGACATTTCTCTCCTCACGAGCTGTCACGCTGACAGCTCATGAGAGGAGAGCCGGTAATCGGCATTCCGCGGAGGGGACATGTACACTGATCATCAGGGCACTGATAATCAGTGTGGCCCCAGAAGTGCCACCTGTCAGTGTCCATCAGTGCCACCTGTCAGTATCCATCAGTGCCAGCTGTCAGTGCTGAACAGTGCCACCTGCCAGTGCCCATCAGTGCCACATCAATGCCACATATCAGTGCCTACCAGTGCACATCAATGCCACATATCAGTGCCCATCTGAGCTGCCTTCCAGTGTCACCCATCAGTGTCAGTCAGTGCCACCTATCAATGCCAATCAGTGCCACCTATCAGTGCTGCCAATCAGTGCCACCTATCAGTGCCAGTCAGTGCTGCCTATCAGTGTGCATCAGTGCTGCCTATCAGTGCCCGTCAGTGCCACCTAACAGTGCCAATCAGTGCCGCCTAACAGTGCCAGTCAGTGTCACCTAACAGTGCCAGTCAGTGCCGCCTATCAGTGCCAGTCAGTGTCGCCTATCAGTACTGCCTATCAGTGACATATATCAGTGCTGCCTTTCAATGCCCATCAGTGATGCCTGTCAATGCCCATCAGGGCCACCTACCAGTGCCTCCTCATCAGTGCCCATCAGTGCCACCTATCAGTGTCCATCAGTGCAGCCTATCAGTGCCCATCACTGCAGCCTCATTAGCGCACATCAGTGAAGGAGAAAAAAAATCACTTATTTACAACATTTTATAACAAAAACTAAGAAAAAACTTTTTTTTTCAAAATTTTCAGTGGTTTTTGGTTTGTTTAAGAAAAAATAAAAATCCCAGAGGTGATTAAATACTACCAAAATAAAGCTCTATCTGTCACAAAAAAATGATAAAAATTTCATATGGGTACAGTGTTGCATGACCGCGCAATTGTCATTCAAAGCGCGACAGCTCTGAGAGTTGGAAATTGGCCTGAGCAGGAAGGGGGTATAAGTGCCCTGTAGGCAAGCGGTTAAAGGCAAATTTGTCTGTATTACATTTTCAGCAAAAAACAAGGCAGGAGAAATAATGAAAACAAGTACAAGTAGATAAACATAAGAAAAACCACATCACAAATGTGACGATGATCCATGTGGGTAGGTGAAGATGATTCCATACAACAGAAAGATGGAAGGATCAATAACATAGTATCACATATTATGGAGATATGAATAAACAAAGGTTCATGGGGGGCATCCCCAGCAAGATGTAAGGAACAAAATGAGAAAGTTCCGCATGATCAAGAGCATAAACTAAAAGAAAAAAAAAAAGAGAAGAAAATATGAGGAGAGAGAAAAAAAAGAAGTCAGTTATAGAGATAGAGAAAGATGAGAAGAGAGGGGGTCGGGAGACAAGAAAGGCAAAAAGCAGAACCAAGGCTGTCCTCTATCAGTATCCCTTCGGGGTGATACCGTCAACCGCACCTGGCGTGAGCCGTGGGGCCACACTGGCGGACCTTTCAAAATGAAAATGAATCTGGAGAGCAAAGCTTAATTGTATCAGGGGAAACACATACAACAGAGAGTCAAAGAGGAGGAAAAAATGGAGCCAGACTGACCACAGTAACTTATGTTCATCATAGGTATCATTGGCAAATGCCAGCATTTCCTCCATACGCATGATATCATTAAGCACAGAAACCCACATCGGAAGAGGTGGGGGGTGGCCGTTTTCCAAAAAAGGGGTATCTATTGGCGGGCCACAGATAGAAAAAAGCGCAACAGCCTTTTCTTTTGCATTGCCAGTGAGCCCAGTAATGTAGAGAGTAGAGCAATCTCTGGCGAAGGGGCCAAGGACTCACCATAGACCCTGTTATACACTGCAAAAACCTGTCGCCAGACGGGTTGTATTTGGTCACAATCCACCAAATATGGAGCTGCGTACCAACAGCTTTAGTACAACGCCAGCAGAGATTAGGTATAGAGGGAAACATTTTGTGCAGGGAGAGGGGGTCCCTGTACCAGCGAGAAAGGAGCTTAAAGTTTTTTTCCTGGGAATAACAAGAAATGGACGATTTATGAATGAAGTGGAACGACGTGGACCAGTCCGCCGACACAGACATTTTTAACGCAGGAACATGTGTGTTTGGATTGTACACTTGTTTTTTTTTCGTAGTCCAGTCACCAGATGGGGATGGACAAGACCTGGCAGTGTTTCTGAACTGCAGCAAAGAAACATCAGCTCCCCTCCCCTGCCAGACAGGGCTGTACTGTGTGGCAGAGCTGTGTAAATCTTAGGATTGGATAAACAGAAATACAAATCTGTTGGAAGGTAAAACAGTTCCTTTATATATATTTCATCTCTTATTCTTTTCTTTGCCTGGAATTCAGCTGAAAAGTAAATGTGAGACAGCTGCTGGTAAGACTAAAACAGACTCCATGTTCTGTTTTTTTCAGGTTGTGCATCATATAGGTTCAAGGGGCACCGTACTAAAAAAACCAAGGCAGGCACTAATTAAAGCAGATGTGTTTTGAGGTTGAAGTTACACTTTAATATAAGAATATTTTTAGTTCTGCGTTCTAGGGGTGTTTTAAGTCCATCTTAAAAAACAAAACAAAAAAAAAAACAAACGCCCGCGCCAACTCCCACGTCACACATCTTTGTGCGTTATTTGGAATGTTTCCTTTGATCTATTTTAAGTTGGAACCATTCAATGGCTTATTATTAAATTCAGTAATTAAACTTACGATGAACTAAGAAATCTGCAAAGCTTAAATGATATTAAATATCACAGACTCCTGGTGGAATACATCATAAGGAGGACATTGTTCCCCATGTCTCAGATGCCAGATTTAAAATCCGTATTAAGCGTGAGAAGGTCAGAGACCCGAGGGGACATGAGAGCGTGTTTATTTGTAGGAGCTGTGCTCATTAGACAGGTGGATTATAACAGTACAAATTTGCCAGAGGAAAACAGATATACTGAAACTGTAGATAAGGGTGGAAGAGGCAAACCAAGAAAGAGGGGGTAACTATAAGCCATTAGAACAAACATCAATTTATATACAAATCCTTAAAGCTAATACAGTATATACATGAGCATATTACAAGTATACGTACCTTACACTAAAATGAAAGTAACGTATGTTGCAGTATTCCCAAAGTGACTAAATAATAAGTAACTAGTAGATATCTCTGCAGTGTAGTGCAGAATATAGCAAGTACCATATGTGACACTAATATCAATAAAAATATATATATCCATTTCTTAAAAATAAATATAGACTACACCATACTTAAAAGAGAACTCCAGACAGATGACAATGGCACGCTCCTAGTTCCACAATAGAAAGTAAGTCAAAGTGAATCTCTCAGTAACTGTACAATACAGCAATAAACAATAACATATATATATATATATATATATATATATATACCGTATATTTATTCCCCCCTCCCAGAAAATCACTTTCTTTTATAATTAACCTTCCTAGCGGTCTGATTATGTCAATATTTCTGTGCTCAAAGCGGTACATTTTTTGCATGGAAATATGTATTTTTTTTATTGTAGGCCTGTAATTGTTAGGAATAACTCACTGAAATCTTTCCAAACAAGAGTCTAGTAAACATCCCGGGTATGTTAAAATTTGAAACACGAAATCATAAATTATCATTTAATAAATAATCATAAAAAATAATAATATAATAATGAATTTAATTGAATAATATAATTAAACCAAAAACACTGAAATTTGAAATATAGCGCCAAGTTCACACATCACTGAGCTTAGTCGCAAAATCGTTTTCAGTGTTTGATGACGAATTTCCCCACGAATCGTTATCACTCAATTCTGCAAGTAGTTCTAATTTACTATCGCTGTTCTCTAGCTGGTCTAAAACTGATTTTGACCTAAAGGGACGCTTTTTGGATGCCATGGACATTTCTCAGTCTCCAGGCAGAAAGAACAGTAAAAATTTAGGCAGGGCACAGGACAAAGCACTAGGGACAAAATGTTTGTGAAATGGTTTGATACAGTAATGTTTTACTATGTGATTTTAGTGAATTTAGTGAATGTCACTTTTTGTCATTTTCAAATTTCCCGCCGTTCCGTCCCCCGTATGTCCCGACGTCGCAGGGGACGGAACCCAGATGAAAGATGCCGGCATCCGCCGGAGGACATTACAGGGGACACTGCAGGAGGGACATCGTGGGAGCGCAGGACAAGGTAAGAGAAGAACAGATCCCGGAGCAGCACTGCATGGTAAGCCCGAGTGTAGCTCAGGTTTACCGCTTGTGGTGCTGAAACTTTACCCCGAGCTACACTCGGGAATACCTCCCGGGAGGCTACAGAGCCATCCATGAGCTCCAGTCCACTAATTGTGCATTGCCTAAGAGGATATTAGTAGTCTGCTGCAGGTAGGAGGAAGCATTTCCCAAAGCACTTGGCCTCCAGAAGGTTTTACCCTCTTCATGACCAGGCCATTTTTTGCAATTCGCACTGTGCTACTTTAACTAACAATTGCTCAGTCAAGCAACACTGTAGCCAAATTAAATTTATATTTTTATTACACAAATAGAGCTTTCTTTTGGTGGTATTTGATCACCACTGCTTTTTCTTTATTTAATAAACAAAAAAATACCGCTAAGTAAAAAAAAAACAAACAAACAATATTTTCTACTTTTTGTTATACACCATCATAAATTTAGGCCAAAATGTATTCTGCTACATGTCTTTGGTAAAAGCAAACTGCATTTTTGGGGACACTATACTATTGGGTACACTAGTATACTTCTGATTGTGCTCAAGATACTGATCCATACAGACAGTATACTAATAATGGTCGTGATTAGGGACATATAATGTGACTGTGATAGTGTGGAGGGAAATTTGACGCTAACAGACACTGTCTGGGAGGGACACTAACTGACACTGCTGTCGTTAGTGACACTAATACAGTGATCAGTGATAATACTCTACACTGTACTAGTCATACTGGCTGAGAAGGGGTTAACATCAAGGGGTAATGAAAGGGTTAACTTTGCCTAACAAGTGTAATGTGTGTAACAGGAGCGGACTGACCATTCGGGTACTCGGGCACTGCCCGAGGGCCCAGGGTCAGTAGGGGAACATGAGATTCCCCTAGTACCTTTCATAGACTTTTTTGGGTGTGGTTTTAAGTGTGGATGAGGACACAGGGGCCCCATGATCCCCTATTGCCCAGGGGCCCCATGAGTTGTCAGTCCTCCCCTGGTGTGTAATGTGTGCTGCTTTTACTCACAGATCCGACTGCCTTTTATCCCTGAACTCAGATTTGATTTCAGGGAGAAGAAACAGCCAGATCACTGTCTGTGTACAGTTTTGTGTTTTTGCAAGCAAAGAGCCCTGTGCAGTGACTGGCCATACTGATCATCAGATATAGAGCCAAAATCATTGGCTGCAACCTGCTAACAAACTCGTGCTGTATTCAGCCACAGTACAGTTCTGCAGGGGGCACGTGCGTGCATGGCCAAAAACCAGGTTCACCAAAACATATGGGTATGATGCAGTGCCTGGATGTGCTGCTTTCTCACAGTAAATGTACTGTGGGCGGGCATCAAGTGGTTAATCACCTTTGCCCCACTAATCAGCTCGAGTGCGATTTCTGGATATGTGAGGGGGTTACATACAAGTACGACTGGACTTTCTTCTTGAGGTGGTGCAACTTTAATGAACCATATCCCAGATACTGTAGATCTTTGGATACTCCTCATGCAAGGGAGTTATATACCTTTTGATTTATTCCACAAGCAATTTAGGAAGACGGGGGATTGCTGTTTGACTTTTTAATCTACAGAATCCTTCTCATTGACAGTGGCATTTGTTCACCAGGATACTATAACTAGCTGACAGGTGGGGCCAACAAAACTAGATATAGATTTAGACATTAGTAAAATTTGTTCCCCCATATAAAATATAAAAACAGGCCTCTCCTCCCTTCCTCCTTTTTTTCTCCTTTTTTTTCTCCTTTCTGTTTAGTGATCCAGTGGACATATTTTGACGTATATATTGGTGACTGACATGGTTTTATAGGATTCAATGGGATTGCTGTGATAATATAGACCAATTAGCTCTAATTGTGTGAACACTGACAGGATAAGTGAATAACATTGATTATCTTCTTACGATGGCATAGGAAGGTTGGTGAGATATATTAGGCAGGGAGTAAACATGCTGTTTGTAGTGTATGGGGCTGTGTAGCTCCGTACCGGTCAGGTCGCCCATGCTGACCCGTGTCCACAGCCACGTGAGCATCAGAACTGGACCACAAAGCAATGGAAGAAGGTGGCCTGGTCTGAGGAATCACGTTTTCTTTTACATCATGTGGATGCCTGGGTGCATGTGTGTCACTTACTTGGGAAAGAGATGACACCAGGATGCAGTATGGGTAGAAGGCAAGCCAGCAGAGGTAGAGTGATGCTTTGGGCAATGTTCTGCTGGGAAACCTTGGGTCCTGCCATTCATGTGGATGTCACTTAACACGTACTACTATGCTAAATGTTGTTGCAGACCAAGTACAACCCTGCATGGAAATGTATTCCCTGATAGCAATGGCTTCATTCAGCAGGATAATTGGCCCTGGATTGAGGAACACAACGAGTTTGAGGTGTTGTCTTGGCCTCCAAATTCTCCAGTTCTCAAACCATTGAGCATCTGTGGTACGTGAGGGAAAAACAAGCTGCATCCATGGAGGCCCCACCTCTCAACTTTCAAGACTTAAAGGATCTGCTACAGACGGCTTGGTGTCAGAAACCACACTCTTCAAAGGTCCAGTGGCATCCATGCCTTGCTGGGTTAAAGCTGTTTTGGCAGTCGGGGAACCTACTCAATATTAGATGGGTAGTCATAAAGTTATGGCTCATTGGTATACATTGGTGTACATCTCTTTTCCTTAAGGAGTTCACAAAACGCATTGATTCTTCAAGGCCTCCCCACCCTTAAGTACATTTTTTGTGAATGTTATGTTATATATTTGCATGTGCATAAAAATAAAGTGATTGGGTTTTAGGTGTCAGAGATGTTGAGAGTATCACATCTCCAAGATATATACATTATGTTTTTAGATTTGTCCTTTTAATCAATATTAGTAAAAAAAAGTGAAAAGGGATTTAACAATGGTGATTGATTTAATGACCTCTGTACCTAAAGTCCAAGAGAGTAAACCTCTGTTTGTATATATATATATATGTAATTCACGTTATCAGGGATGTGGTACAAATAATAGTTTGATCACTCTACACATACTGTATGTCAGTAGCATAAAAATAAACGTAATGCCAAAACCTTTTTGTTATTTTGAATAGAGTGGGGTAGTTATAAACCATGCCAGCTTCATTTGCATGTGTCTCATTAGAGAAATGTTATGTGCTTTGGTGTAACTCAATTATTTTTTGTGCAAAAAAAAAAAAATTTATTTTTTGCTTATCGTTTTTTTTTCATCACATAGGGGACAAAAAGTCCCCTATGTGATGAAGTAATGGGGCGGCAGCGCAGCCGTCCGACTGCCATCCACCTGGCAGGCATGAGTCTGGGAGTCTGCCTGTCAGTTTTAGACACAATCTAAAAAACCACCACTGTTAGGTCCGTACGACGTATGGTCTTCCCTGGCCACAAGAAGAGGCAATCAAATCTGACCAGGTCATTGCCTGAAGAGGTACTGAGAGACTGTATCTAATTACCCATATGGAAGAAAAATATATTTGAAATGTATTTTAAAAATATTATTCCCAACTATATTGACATATATTTGAAATGCTACAAATTTGGCCATATTCAATATATTCCAATAAAATATATATATATATATATATATATATATACTGCATGTTGAAATGTGTTTTTTATATAATACAAAATATATGAAAAATATTTTTAAAAACATATATTTTTTAAATATATTCTTCAGATTTTTTTTAACATATAAAAAAGTCATTATAACATATATTTTTTACATATATTTGTAAATGCATTCCAGAAATGTAGATTTGTATTGTATTTTTAAAGACATACAGTATATTTGAAATGTATTTTAAAAAATATTTTTCATATATTTTGTAATAAAAACACATTTCAACATGCAGTGTATATATATATATATATATATATATATATATATATTTATTGAAACATATTTTTGAATACATTGAATATGGCCAAAATTGTAGCCTTTCAAATATATGTTGATATATTTAGGAAGAATATTTTTAAAAATATATTTCAAATATATTTTTCTTCCATGTGGGTAGGCAGCAGACTGTGCAGTTCACATTCGGCAGTTTGTCACAAAGCTGGATGTGATAATATGGTGGGTCTGTGCAGAGACAGGCACAGGGACTATGGAGTAAGGATAGCCAGGAGGCTGGAAAATTTCTGTTTTGTCATTGTGATGCTGAAACCCCCCATGCAAGGGTATCCTTGTATGAGTTTTGGAACAGCACTACATATGAGTGAACCCCCACAATATATACTGTGTATATATATATATATATAGTACATAAACAACTATAGCTGTTTGCCGTTTGCCTAAAGTTAAACTTCAATTGGATTCTCCATGAGCCAAATTTATATTCAAATATCAATCCCACAAACCTTGGCATACAAAAATACCTAATACCATAAAGAGATAGTAGACAGACAGATGGTGATGTAACATTTTATTCACTGTCCTAGGACTTCAGCAGTAACATTTTGCTGCTCTTAGAAATTCACAGTTCAATTACAGACTGTAATTGTCTACAGAATTATCAAAAATGAACCAAAAACCACCTGAAGTATGGGTTCAACAAACAGTTGTAGTAAAAAAACAACAACAAATATACTAAATATTGAAGTGAGCCTGTTTGTCACCAAATGTACAATTTTATTGCACATAAAAATAATAAAATTCATGGTCAATATAAAAAAATCCCAAGTCAATCTAAATAAGTCCATGCTTGCTAAAAGAATTAGTGGATATACCAAAGGTGATATGCCAGAAAAATTTACAAACATTAGCTGGGTGCTGAAAACATTATTATATATTTTATAATTACTTTATAATGTAATTTGCTATTCAAAATACCCTGTAATGATCAGCCTTGGGCCCTTGCTGTCTGCTGGTTGTTACTCACCACTGCAGCTTAGGTTTCTGTAGCACACACCTGCTGTACTCAAGAGTGTTTAAGTAGACTGCTGAACATTCAGTCTGTGCTTGATCTACAGGTTAGTTTCACTGCTCATGCCCTTAATTCAGGTCTGTTTGACCTCTGTATGTTCATGGCCTGGATTACCCCTGTGATTGTTTGGACTGTGTTTTTACTCAGTCTGTCTG